AGTAGAGCTTCACCTTTCCAGAACTTGAGCTCCATCCAGTCAGTTCCATACATAATCCATACATGATGTCAGATCAGCTTTTGGAAGAATTGTGTAGAACGGCATCCAAAGGAAACTTCTCTTCCACCATGCCCCCCACACACATGAAGCAGCACTAACATTTCTGATCTCACAACATGGGGAATGTACATATGTAAACATTTCAGAACATATGAAGAATAACAAGTGAACCAAATAATGATAACCCAATTGACATAAAGACATTGCTGGCATTCCCCATTCACATCTGAGAGGATACAGGTTTGATTTTTAGTCAACATCCTATCCAAACTGAGATTTATGTGGTCTTACTCAGTCTCTCTAGGGAAGTAATGGAATAATACTGTTGCTGGGCAGAGACCCTGAAACAGACAAGTACAGCCATTATAGGCGGATAAACAAACACCTGATTCTGAGTAAGAGTCAGTAAACATGTCAAGAATACCCAAGCCTCTCTCAAATGCATGATACAGAACAAAGAAAAATGGATGCCAATCTAAGGGACATCATAGAAGACATGAGGGCCTGGCAAAAAGAGATGAAGGCCAACCAAGAAGCAACAGAAGCTTGTCTGGAGAGTATGAAACCAACTTCATTGGAGATGAGACCGCATCAAGAAGTCCCTTAAGAAGATGCCTCAGTCAGTACTGTCAGAGCACTGAAGAAGCAGTACATGGGCCGGCATCTAGCCGTGAGGCACCACAGTCAGACAAAGAAATGGGCCCAGGGTAATGGTGGGTCCCGGAAGAAGTGGGCAGCAGTTGCAGCAGTGGCACAGCGCAAGGGACATGGAAGAGACAATTTTCCATCAAGAACCCAGAAAGAACTGATGGACAAGAAGGGACAATGGACAGTAGCAGAATGCAACAGTGGAATAAGGAACTGAGGCCTCAAAGAGCAATTACAAGTACATCTGAGAAGCAAGAGGACATCCAGCAGGATCTTCAGGAAGGCCCTCATGCTGGAGATCATGAAGCAAAGAGTCAAACCTTCATGGAAAAAGAATGTCATGGCATTGTGGTGAGGTTGGTCCCCTCTGAAACAAAAGAATATACGGCACACAGAGTAAAAGCAATAAATGTATGAGCACCAAACACTCTTGGAACCTTTGGCCGCACCAACCAGAGGGAAATGATGGTGATAAAATCCAGACCGACTGGCACCTTATTAGGGAGGAGCGACTCAAAACAAGTGGCCTTAAGGAGGGAGCAACGGAAGCAGTTGGAGAGTAAATACCGCAGAAAAACCTAACCATGAGAAGGAAGGTGAAACCAAAGACAAATGTCGCAAGCACAGACCTTGGAAATGTCGGCATGCCTGTAGGCCATTCAGGACGAATAGCCTTAAGGAAGGAGCAATGTGACATAATGCCTGAGAGCTTGAATAGTGAAGCCAGAGTAAACGTTCATTGCTAGGCAACGGATTAGTAAACATATTACCACAGCAATGAAAATGTAAGCAGCAATCAAAGTATTGTTGGGCTATAACGATGGAAACGGTGTTTTCTGTTGAGTCCACCCCAATGCTATATAATGAGAACTCCAGGCCAGTTGGGCATTTAAACTCCACTAGTGGAAGCGCATGCACAGTCCTAAATATTTATTTTTAAATGTAGTAATTACCAGACAGACTTGAGTAAATCCCTAATTGAGGAATTAAAATGATACCTAACCAAACAAAAAAAAAAGAGAGAGAGAGTATGCGTATGAGTTACAACTCATCCATGAGCCAGTACTTTTATTGCAGATTATGCAGATTAATGTGTTAAAAATATATAGTAAAATTCGATGTACGTACCTTTTTTTGTTATCTGCTTGATGTATATATAGGCTGAAATGAAACTAAAGTATTCGATTTAACTATGAACTCACAGAAAACAGATCACACTCTGTATCTCAGCCACGATGTAACTCTCTATTCACGAATATGGAAAGGGCAATAATCCCTTGCAACTATAACGGAAGGTCTTAGCACTGAAGAAGGGACCCCTCTAGCTTTTTCTTGAATAACCATGCTTTCATTCTTCTGTCCATTAGTTAAAAGATTAAAAACTCTGAAGAGTAACAACGATGTGAAACTTGCCAGCAGCAGACCAAATGATTTTACTGCTTCCATCTGTTTTATGACACCAGGGACTGCTAAAATATGTCAAGTGTTACAAGCAGAACTGATTTTATAATGCAGAACAACTCTGTGAAGAACTGGGAAACCATTTTTTCAATATGCTTCAAAATTAAAAGAAAAAATTTGAAAATAAATTACAACTTTTTGTATAAATATTTGCAAATCTTATGTTATGTGACACTATGTCCTTTGCTGACACAATCAAAGTTAATTACATCCATTTATCATAAAAATTGTGTTAGATACAGCATTTTTAAACAAAATGCTTAAAATTGTTTAAGCGCCCTAGCACGAACTGACATTTAAACGCGCACCAGTAGCAGGCATTTAAACAAACTTCAGCCAGCTCAAGCGTACCACCATTTCAAAAGTCTGGCACTTAAAGGTTAATAAATAAATGTGTACAGTATCTGCAGTGTTTCCATTATTTCATCCAACCCTATTATCTATGCCATCTGGGTCCCCACTGAACTAGTATATACAGGCACATGTGAGTACTGCCTATTCTCCATGCCTAGACCATCACACAGGAGGCAGTAAAAACAGTCACTCCAACTTCAACACTTATGTCATAGCAGCAGAACTGTTGGGGTGTCTACACCACCTGGACCTCAACTGGAGTACAATGTGGTATATATGACTGTAGCCTGAGCTTTACAGCTGTACTTGCATAAAGAGATGCTGTGAAAAACCTAACCTTTATCAAATATACTTATGTTCTCTTAAATTCACTTGCATCTTTATAAAATCCTTGATATTTTTATTTTCACTGTTTGCATCCATACATATGCACCATTTTTATTCAACATCTGGTTAGTTTCACATTAAGAATGAGAAATCTATTTGACTATGACCTTGTAATCATTGCTTTGCAGCCTTCTCTCTTTGTTCTACTAATTTAAGTGCTTAGTTGCCCAATCACAGTTTATTCCATGGAACTGAGTGATATCTCAATCTCTTCTTGACTGAAATATTCATATTATCATGAACANCCAAATCCCAGAAGACTGCTTTCTTCATAGTCACCGCCGTGAAAGCCTCAAATCTTACAACAATTTCCTAGTCACTATCAATGTCAATTTTTATACTCCCCATAATTGCATCAAAATTGCAAACCTATTCAAATCCTTATTACAGCACCATTCTTTAACTTGTACTTTACCATGACAAAAAGTACTCCAAAACTGCACTACTCACAGAAGGGCATGTAATGCCCACTCACTTCTCACTGCAGCAGTAGAAGTACACATAAAGAAATATCAATATTTTTTGGCATTCAGAACCTAAAATACCTCACATATAAAGAGAAATGCATACAGATAAGTCCCCTCAAGTTCCAATAAATGGCATAAGCACTTCCTTTTCATCATAAGCATTTAATAATGTGAAATGAGTGTAACCGCACCATGCAGGGACCTCAGGAATGTTTTTCACTTACAGTGTTAATTACAATGCACTACATGGAAACGAAATGTACTACTGTTAACAATAGTTGATACAGAATTGACCCCAGCACCAGCAGACGCCAAGGACAACATCTGGTCTTTCTGAGGGACAAGCAAGCTGCAGGTCACTTGAAAACCCAGAACGGAGCAGGAAGTATCCCGCTGTGTTTTCTGGGGATTTCAATGCTTAACTTCAACGGTTCGAGTCTTTGAAAATTTGAGACTTGACAGAAACGAGTCGCAATAATTTTCGAAGGGGCGTACCGAGCGATTGTTAGCGTACCTCCATTTATTTAAGAGCTGTCAGAGGGACCGTGCTGTACTTAGGCCCAAATTAACATGGATCTGGTTAGGGATTGGCTGAATGCAAATGAAAGAAACACCCAAATTTGAGGTTCAGCCAATCAGCAAAATTTCAGAGGAGGGGAATCCAGGCGTTCCCGGAACCGTCGGGACTTCTGCCTCTCCAGAGCAGTCATTACAAGTCATCAGAAGGAAATAGCGGGAGTGATTAGCCAAGGGAATAACCAGAGTCAGTA